GAAGAGAAGAAAGAGAAACAAAATGGATACAGTTGACTCTATATCCTCCTTATACTACTTAAGATTTTACTCTTCATATATATAATATATTTGAACAAGATGTGGATTAGAGGTACTCACAAGGTAAATGATAACTGAGCCAATTTATAGCTCTGTCGAAAACTTCGTAAACTGGGTTCACTTTCACTGCATGAAGTAAACAAAATTAGCCAAAACCTTTTTGCAACTAAAAAAAGATACGACCAAGAAATGAAAAGGCATATATATGCACAATTGGAACTCAAATCAAAAGAATTTGTTTCTAAAGTACCGTAAAGAGCACACTGGTTTTCCTCATTAATCTGGAAACCCGTCTTTCCACATGAAGCGTACCGCCACGACAACTCAATTCCATATGCTAACCAATGATGGATGTCTAGGTAGGAGAGGTTCCCGTAATTCTCCTCCCGTATGAAAGGTGCCATTAGCTCAATACGGCATGAGGGTTTTAACTCAAGTGCAGTTGTCCTTCCGACTTTCACATAATAATACCTCTTGCCTTCAGATTTAGGCCTATAAGGTGTGGAGAAAGAGCTGTCATTAATGCAGGCAGGAGCTTCCACATAAAGAGGATCACTTACAAGATTTCCGCAACTTATGAAAAGAATGCTCTCCCAAACATAAACAAAATTTGTATACATTAAATAATAATAAGGATCATGAGAATAAAATTGTGAAAACGTTGAGAAGTTAGAGGCGTCCCAGGAGTATTGAGGTATGGAGCAGCTCCCTTCCTCAACGCTAGCATCAGCTACTCGGATTGTCTGATTGTCATAATTGATTGCTTTCACGTAGAATTTTCTTGATTGATCAGAGTGCAATACTGTAAGGTTGTTCTCACAGGATAGAGAATATACTGGATCTGCAGTCTCTCTACAGTGAGACGGATCTGTGTTTAATCTGAAAGGGTAGCTAATATTCAAATTATTCCCACAAGAAGAAGGTGGACAGTTTTGTTCATCTTTGGCACTGAAAGTCTCATGAATTAAGGCGAGAAGGAGAAGAGCGACGAAGATGAGGCCTGGTCTAGGCATGGAGAGGGGCAAAAGGTGTCGATAACTTTCAGGTCTTTGAACAGAGTCTTGTGGTTTGCAGGAGAATTACAATAACTTTTTGGTCTTAAAACAACCACAAACGCACTCCACCTCCACAATTTTTTTTAAAAAAATTTTTGAAACTACGTAATTATGGGGGAAAGGATTACAGGTGTGGGGTACCAATCCCATGTGGTTGGCCTCCACCTTCAAACATTTGATCACTAGATTTTAGATTATTATTGTTATTATTATTATTATTATTATTATTATTATTATTATTATTTTGAATGTGAGAAAGCATTGTCAATTAAATTGAGACAGTTGTACCTGGTCCCAGGTAACGACTTTTCTCGATGGCTTCCTTTTAGATGATTTTTAATTACCTTGCACCGAGACCTTGACTTTCTTGGTAATTTGCAGAGCATTGACCATGCCAATCAATTTTAGAATTTTGGGTACAAATGGATACATCACTTACCTCACCCACATTGCTTGAATTTTCTCATTAACCTTCAAATAATATGGGGGCAGGTCTGCTTCTGAGTTCTGATATCGAGAAGCATCTTGATGATGACGGTTTCTTTGAAGTTTTTGGGTATTGGTGTTTGGAAATTTGGAATGGGTCCTGTGAATTGATTTAGGGGGGCAGATAAGATATTGCTTGGCAGGTGAATTCAACACAAAAAATGAAGAAGCCAGCGAGTTTAGGTTTGGTGGATTTGTTCGGTAATTGGCAGAGTATTATTAGGGTTTTATTAAGGAAAAAGTGTCTGTCAGCCTTATCTCTTAAAGATTAGTAAGAAAATCATCTTAGGTCGTTTCAATAAATTTTTATTAAAAAATGTTAAATTATTCTATTTTTAAAATATGTATTAAGGTAATTTTTGTAATTTTTTCTCCTAATTTTTTGAAAGTAAAACGGATAAGTACTAACCCCATATATATATATATGTTGTTGGGGCTTGTCTTTTAAAAATTAAAAAAAAAAACAAATTCTCACGTTGTAATTTAATGACATTGATTTTGGATTAATGAGGTTATTTTCATGAGTTATAATTTTGAATTTCATGGATTTTTTTTTTTGTAATTTCTCATTATGTTCCTAAAAAAATATAATTCTATTCAAAAATAAAAAAATAAAAAAATTACATCCTCAAGCCCATCTCATTTGGAGTCATTTATATATTTTGAATAATGATGATTTAAGTCTAACCCTGGCTGCTACCCGCTAACCAGGAAAATGTACCTAGCTGGGTTGGCGGCTGCATACCAACAATTAATATTAATGTTTGTGTTTGTAGAGAAATAATCTGACTTTTGGAGTTGCTTAATTTCATAAAAATATGTTACTTGAGTTGATTTGCCCAAACACAAGGAAAAGAAGAGGAAGATAATTATATTCTTCTATTTCCTTTCTTTCTTCTTTTTTTTTTTTTTTTATTTGGATAAATTACTAAATTAAATAAAAAATAAAGTAAAATAAAAATTTTTTCTTCTTTTT